AACTTTAAAATTTGTTGTGAAAAGAAAACATTTGTAGCTTTCGTTTTCCTGGAAAAAAATGAGTTGACCCTTTTTCGAACAAAATTTAGTATGTAGTGCTAACTTGACACCATGCACCATTGACGACAGAATTGAGATATTGAAAAGGTTACAACGGCATTAATTGTAGCTTTCTTGTTGTAAATTTGTTGTGGAAAGAAAAAATTGTAGCTTTCGTTTTTTAAGAAAAAATGGTATGTAGTGCTAACTTGACACCATACACCTAGTCGATAGAATTAAGATATCCAATATGTTACTATGCAATTAATTGTAGCTTTTAACTTTAAAATTGGTTGTGTAAAGAAAAAATTTGTAGCTTTCGTTTTTTAAGAAAAAATGGTATGTAGTGCTAACTTGACACCATACACCTAGTCGATAGAATTGAGATATCCAATATGTTACTATGCCATTAGTTGTAGCTTTTAACTTTGAAATTTGTTGTGAAAAAAAAAATTTGTAGCTGCGTGCCAAATGAACTTTTCTCTCAAAGTTTACACTGCTGGCAAATGTAAATTAGGATTAACATTTAAAAACTTATTAATACATCTAAAGTAAAATCTGTGGAAAATTAACAATAAAATACTTTTTTCGCAAAATTTATAAAGGACCCTTTTATTTCTCAAAAAAACCTGGGTAACAGTTATTCGTCGCCACGCTGTATTGTAAGTAGTAGGCTAGTGAAATTCTTTATGATTAAAGTTAACTATTTTATAATGTTATGGAATTGTGACAACAATTTTAAATTTTCATTAAGGATTTTTAAACAGCGTTCATGGGAAATTTTTATGTTTTCGTTAGGTATGGTTTTTATTATTTTTTCATTTGTATCAGTAGTTTTTTAATATTTTTTTTTTTCATTGCGAAATTTGTATACCAACTCTTCGTTGATAATATGATCACTTCGTTTGATAAGATTTTGTAAATGCTTTCTTCAGTTAAACTGTTCGACTTTTGGAAAAGCGGAAACGTAAAAAAATCTCTAGTAACACTTTCGTTTGGAACCAATTATGTTATATTTCATTTAGTTGCAATATTTGCAGTCTTTACTTTTAGATAGGGCATAATCTTATTGAAAATATTTCTAAATCAAGATTTCTCAAATGCCTTTAGTTTGGTACCCATATTGTAACATTTCATTTCTTTGACCAATTTAATTGAGTTAAATTTTCAAACAGGTGGCAACCCTCTTCAAACATATTTTCGACTATCTTCTTCTTCTTCTTATTTGGCGCTGTAACCGCCTAAGCGATTTTGGCCGTGTCCAAAACAGCACGCCAGTCATATCTCTTCTGTGCTAACTGACGCCAATTGAAAATGCCAAGTGAAGCCAAGTCCTTCTCCACCTGGTCTTTCCAACGCAGAGGAGGCCTTCCTCTTCCTCTGTTACCAGCATCGCGGCCCGCGTTGAATATTTTCAGAGCAGGAGCGTTTCTGTCCATCCGAACGACATGGCCAAGCCAGCGGAGCCGCTGAATATTTAATTAACTGCACTATGTCTATATCGTTGTAAAGCTCATACAGCTCATCGTTAAATCGTCTGCGATATTCGCCATCACCAACGCGTAAAGGTCCGTAAATCTTTCGCAGAATCTTTCTCTCGAAAACTCCAAGAGCCGCCTCATCAGATGCTTTCATTGTCCATGCTTCCGCACCATACACCAGCACAGGCACGATGAGTGACTTATAGAGTGTGATCTTTGTACGACGAGAGAGGACTTTACTTCTCAATTGCCTACTCAGCCCAAAGTAGCACTTGTTGGCAAGAGTGATTCTCCGTTGGATTTCAAGGCTGACATTATTATTGGTGTTAATGCTGGTTTCCAAATATACGAAGTCGTCTACTTTTTCAAACTTGTAACTGTCAACAGTGACGTGGGTGCCAAGACGCGTATGCTCTGACTGTTTGTGTGATGACAGGAGATACTTCGTTTTGTCCTCGTTCACCACCAGACCCATTCGCTTTGCTTCTCTATCCAATCCCGAGAAGGCAGAACAGACGTAGCCCTTGTTTTTACCGATAATATCGATGTCGTCGGCATACGCCAGCAATTGTACGCTCTTATAAAGTATTGTGCCTGAGCGGTTCAGTTCTGCGGCTCTTATTATCTTCTCCAACATAAGATTAAAGAAATCACACGAGAGGGAGTCCCCTTGTCTGAAACCTCGTTTGGTATCAAACGGCTCGGAGAGGTCCTTCCCTATTCTGACGGAGCTGGTGGTATTGCTCAACGTCATTTTACACAGCCGTATTAGTTTCGCGGGGATACCAAATTCAGACATCGCGGCATAAAGGCAACTTCTCTTCGTGCTGTCGAAAGCGGCTTTGAAATCGACAAATAGATGGTGTGTGTCGATCCTATTCTCGCGGGTCTTTTCCAAGATTTGGCGTATTGTGAATACCTGATCTATGGTGGCTTTTCCAGGCCTAAAGCCACACTGATAAGGTCCAATCAGCTCGTTGACGGTGGGCTTCAGTCTTTCGCATAATACGCTCGATAAGACCTTGTAACCTATGCTTAGAAGGCTAATTCCGCGGTAGTTGGCGCGTATGGCGGGGTCGCCTTTCTTGTGGATTGGGCAGAGCACACTTAAATTCCAGTCGTCGGGCATGCGTTCATCTGACCATATTCTCCATACGAGCTGATGCATGCACCTAATCAGCTCCTCGCCGCCGTACTTGAATAGCTCGGCTGGCAGGCCGTCAGCTCCAGCAGCTTTGTTGTTTTTCTGCCGCGTAATCGCTATACGTACCTCGTCATAGTCAGGCGGTGGGACAGCTACTCCATCATCATCGACTGGGGGGAATTTTCGGGCGTTCTTCCTGCCGGCCAGCATCTCAAGCTCTTCGCACTCACGTATTTCGGCCTCTCTCTTCTTATTGCGGCAAATACGTCTCGCTTCCTTCTTCAGTTCCCTATAACGGTCCCACATGGCTCGCGTTGCGCCCGATCGCAGCGTGGCCCTGTAGGCGGCATCTTTTTTCTCTGCGGCTTCTTGACATTCCTCATCGTACCAGTTGTTCTTTCGGGCTCGCTGAAATCCAACTACTTCTTCGGCGGCGGTACTTAATGATCGGGAAATGTGGTTCCACTGCTCGCGTACGTCGGATTGTTGAAGAGTGCTCTCAGAGAGCAAGTGTGTGAGTCGAGTGGCGAATAAATTGGCCGTCTGTTGTGATTGCAGCTTTTCGACGTTAAGCTTTCCTTGCATTGCTGGGCACACATTTTTTGCTGCACAGAGGCGGGTGCGTATCTTGGCTACAACAAGATAGTGGTCCGAGTCGATGTTTGGTCCTCGGAGTGTACGTACGTCCAAAACGCTTGAAGCATGCCTTCCGTCTATCACAACATGATCGATTTGGTTTCTCGTTTTTCGATCTGGAGACAGCCATGTAGCTTGGTGGATGTTCTTATGCTGGAACCTTGTACTACATATTACCATATTTCGGGCCCCGGCGAAGTCGATCAGCCTCAGTCCGTTATCGGACGTTTCGTCGTGGAGGCTGCATTTTCCGACAGTGGCGCCAAAGATCCCTTCCTTGCCCACCTTGGCATTAAAATCGCCAAGCACGATTTTGACATCGTGTCGGGGGCAGCGCTCATATGTACGTTCCAAGCGCTCATAGAAGAGAT